CTTGTCCACATGGACTGCTAACTCCGTACCGGGATCCAGCTAGAAGCTATATAGCTTCTTAGCGACAAGGGGCAGACTCTTGAGAGGCATCTTGATGAAGAGCTTCTCGAGCAAGATCCACGCTTAAGCGGCCGTCCGCGCTCCGTGGATGTAGACTTGGCATGTACGATTCACGTCTCCAGCGATAACACCAAGGTCCTTCAAATCATTGGTCTTCCATTCAACCGTGGAGCGGTCGGTAACTTGGTCGACCTCGGGCTTGATGATTTACGGGAGCAGGCCATAGCGAGCGAGCTTCATCTGCAGTTGAACTCCCAGTGAAAATAGTCGTCTTCCACGATCTGGTCGATAGTGTCGGCGTAGCTTGGACTCATAATCAATTGAGACACATAGGCAAGTCACTGTCCAAAGTACTACTTTGAGTGAAGCGGGCATGATGCATTACCGATCTAACTCCCAGCAACAAGAATTAATGCCTTTACCAAACGTATTTATAGTGTTACCTGCCACGTTGAGTATCATATTTCTTACCGGTACAAGGCATACGCTAACTGTTGAACGCATTGTTATCACACATGAATTACCGCCGCGTAGTGACGGCGCTCAGATGCATGCGCTGTAGAATGCCGACCTACGCGGCCATGAAGAAGCCACTGAAGTGCGACATTGTACTCAGTTTCACACCGAATCCGCCGGGCCGGTGCAACTGCAGCTACGGCTCTCGAAATATGCACTAGAGCAGCTAATGCACTGGCACCAAGTGTATACGCACACCCACGTCTGAGGGCGTATCTATATCAATATTGGGATTTGGTCACCGCGGTTTGAATATGTTATTAAATCACATATTCAATAACACAAATTTTGTGTTGTTGTTAGAAACCTCCCACATGTGGTAACACTCAAGATTTAATAGTTGGTGAGGGGGGCTCCCATACAACCAGTCGGTTTTGGTCACGCGCCCAGTGTTACTCACATCAACCAGTATACAAAAACGAAGTCATTCTGAGTGATGGTCAATGACAATTGTTTATTAGTAATGTTGCTTACTCCCACGCTACTCGATCACTTCTTGGCAGGCATTGAGTCGATCAGTGACCTAATAATCTTGAGCTCTATACTTTCCCACGCATCTTTAATGGCAGCACGCAGCTCAGCCACGCTGTTGAATTGGTGACCGTTTGAGTAGACACGTCTCGTTAGGATGGACCACAGGTTCACGATTGGATTCAGGTCAGGGGAGCGTTGCGTCCAATCCAGAATCTGGACACCTTGCTCTTGCAGGAAGTCAATAGACGCCTTGGAGGTATGGATGGAGGCTCAATCTTGCTGATAGATGGAGTCTGTGCCCTAATGGCGATGCGCGAACGGCAGAAGAAACCTGGAGACCGTGTAGATGCAGCCTTCTGCGTTTTGACGACCCGTTAAGAAAGCAATCTTGGTCTTGCCCTTGGCGCTGAACGCTGCCCATACCATGCGCGACCCACCACCTGATTGGTGGCGGCGATTCTCATGTGGTGGCCGCCGGATATCGCAAGTAGTGCAGGAAGTTATCGGGACCGTCAAGATTGCACTTTTTTCATCTAAAAATATAATTTTTCCCACATTTATTTTTTCCTCTGGATTCATTAGCATTTTCCACGCCCATGAATTTCGTGCTTCCTTGTCAGCCTTAGAGAGCGGCAACGCGCTACTTAGTCTGGAATAACAGAGCCAGTCCATGTCAGCTAGAACACGCTGAATAGTCCTAACCGAGGGGGTTAGTTCTAGCATAGACCTAAACTGAGGGGCTGTATAGTCGCCCATTGAAGCGGCTCGAAGAAGGGGGCGGGCATTCCGTCCAGACAACAACGGTGCTGGACCCATCATTTTGTGTGGCTTTACGTCGCCCTTGAGCACGCGGGTTACTGTGCCCGTGAAGCGCTTTACCTGCCGATCAATTTATCTAATGCCAACACCAGCTTGGGTCAGCCCTTCAGTCTTACCCCGCTCTCGCTGTGTAAGCAGTGGTCCTCGTCTCATCGTATCCAGAATGACTCTGAGCCAGCGAGCTGCTTTTATACCCATCACTCAGAATGACTTGATTTGTGTATACTGGTAAATATGCGTAACACTGGACACGTGGGTAATCACTATCACTGATCTCTATCTTGTTTGGTCTCAGCGAAAATAATTGATTAGGTCACGTGGTCTCATTATGCTTGATCACGTAGGCACTTGGAGACTTATTGCAAAGGCGGTTAAAAACTTATTTGGCTTCTACAAACTATCTGCTTCTTTTTCTTCATCGCCTTCAAAGTCAAATGCAGTGTCATACACAATTCCAAGATCTTCATCAGATAGTTCCGAATCTGCGTCGTTGACAT